GGAGATTTGTGGCTCCTGCAACCTGCTGCTGCTGGCCTAGAACTCTTACTGGAAGAGCTTCATGCTCCCCTTGCTTGCAGAAGCCGGTTCAAATATCCCACCGCTGGAACCATATGTACTGGGTCCTTCCACTTCTCATGAGCGCCCCGTCACAGGGCTTATGCCTGCTCTCTCTTTCTCTGTTTGTGGTGGATCTTTGGTGACTCAGCCCTTCGGTTGAGTCATACAGTCTGTATGTGAGATAAAAATCAGCCCCCTTCCGGGATAGGCCCCCTGTTGGATGTATATCTCAGTGCCCTCTATAAGGTCCCTTGATCTGCAGCCCAACCTTTGGGTTCGCTCCCCAATCAATCCAGCCGGCCTATCACAGTACCCTGGTTCGAACTGTCTCAGTCCCTTCTGGGCTCTCTCAAATTGTCTCTGCTCTTCAAGCAGTCTTGATCCTGGTGTGGGTCCATGTGCCCCAGGGCTCCCTCCCTGGAGACTCTTTGCCTCTCTGGGCTTTTCTGGCCCCAGATCTTCAGCTAGGCCACTAATAGAGTTCAGTTCCCCTTCTGGGGTGTATCAAAGTCCAGGGCAGTTTCCCAGTGGCTGGTGGAAGGGACCTGACCCACCCTCTACTACGGGTCTCAGCCCCTATAGATAGAATCCGCCCACCGTGTCCCTTTAAATAAACTGTGTCTTTGCTACAGTTCCGTGCCACTTCCCCGCAGCCCCGTTCATTCTTCGCCCTTACCTCAGGGCCTCGTCTTGATAGGCCCAGCAGCCAGCCTGGAATTCCTTCACATCCCCCCAGCTTCTGTCAACGCTGCTCTGTCCGGGTCCTTTAACTCCCTCAGCCAGCCAGGCTCACCTCCACACTCCTCCAGCTCCAGCAAGAAACTCCTCTCACTCTGGCCCCGCGGCATTTTATGCTGGCCTGCTGGGCCCTGATTAGCTGCTTCCCACACAGCTGCTCAAGGCAGCTTAGAGAACCTCTCTGCTTCCCTTTTCTGGGCTGCGGTGTGGCAAGGCCGTGAGCACTCTAGGAGGGGCCTCCAGACCTAGTCCACCCCATCCCACCTCCCATAGCCTTTCACAATCACTGTCACCATCTTGGTCAGGTGGCTGGCAGTAGAAGCATGGAATTTCTTTCCACAGAGACTCTGCTGTACAGTATGATTCATTTAAGATTTTCACCTTATTTGACTCTGCTTTATTTAACATGTATTGCCACTCGCTCACCAAGGCGAACCTACTCTGTCATTCCTGTACATTTTGTTCCCCAATATTGCCAGGTCCCATTGATTATCCTCATCCCACAAAGTTTCTATGATACCTGTTATATCACTATCCTCATTTAATGACACTCTAGTTCACCCATCTTAGTATTGAGACACCTCACATTTGGTTATAAGCACTTGTGCATTTTGTCAATATTCAGTTGCTTGCCTTCATGTGTTAGGTTTCAATGGGATTATTTTACGTGTGACTGTCCCACCTGGGCTTTACCAACTTCTTTCCTATCCTTCATAGTAGGATCTAGAGTTCCCTCTTTAATCAATTTATCCCTAAGGGATGTCTCCATCCGAACCACGTGCTGCCCCACACCTGTCAGCTTTGCCCCAGACCTTAAATAAAAAAATCCTCTACAACCTTTTGAATGTTATGTGCCCGGTGTCCGGTTCCATTCTGGTTATGGTTAAGCCCATCCCTCTTGTACAGGCTCCTCTTTTCCCCAAGTTTCCCCAGTTCTTAATAAACCTAATCCCTCTTCCCTCCACCATCGTCTCATCCACAGATTGAGACCTTGCAGTTCTCCCGGCTTCAATGGCCCTGTGCGTGGAACTGGAAGCATTTCCGAGAATGCTCCCATGGAGGTGTTGTGCTTTAGTCTCTTCCCTAGCAGACTAAATTTGGCCTCCAGGACCTCTGTCCTACCTTTCCCTACCTCATTGGTACCTACACGTACCACGACCACTGGCACCTCCCCACCACTAACTATAAGGCTCTCTAGAGGTCTCATGAGATCCACTACCTTCACACCTAGCAGGCAATTCACAAACCCAAGCACCTATAACGTCATATAAATTAGCATGATTCTGTATACGAAGAAGCAGAGCACAAAGTTGAATTGTTTACAGAAAATAGCAAATGTTTGCCAAGCAGGGTTACAGACCGGACCGGCGTGTCCCTTACAGCGCTGACCCGGGAACCCTGAGGCTGCTGGTCAGAGTGTAGGAAAGGTCAGTGTAGACCTGGCAGCTGCAGCTCGTCTCCTCAGTTGTTGTGGACAGCAGTGGCTGGTGCACCGCTTCAGGATCCCTTTTTTCCAGGGCAAAAGAGGCCATAGGGGAAAAGGACGCCAGCCCCTCCGATTTCCTGAAACATTTAAAGGATCCAGTGGCAGGAACCAGGTCTGCAATCCGAGCTGCCGATTACATGGAAACCACCCTGAGCCTCCTGAAGAAGAAGCTGCGTCGGCTCGTGAAAGGGAAGTTTAATATCACAGGTACTGTGCACTTGGCTGATTAGCAGGAAACCTGTCAATGTGTAGCATGCGTGACTTTTGGTAGACACTTTTGAACAAGCTAGAAGTAGTAACAAGGAAGTCCTAGAAGAATACTGCCTCTCAGCTAGTACCTGTAGCCAAGGTTAGAGCTTGGCACAGCAGAAAAAACATAACAAACTTAGACTGCTGTGTGGAAGGGGAAACTGAGGCACACCACCTCATGGCCTTGGTGGCTAAATGCCAAGACAACTACACTCTAAAAGATATGAATATCTACATTGTGTTAACAGTGCTGTACACTAAAAGGCTTTCAGGCAACTTGGAAAAAGAAACCCAGGACTTTGTAAAAACATCTGTGAATAACACGACAATTTTTGGTAACACTGGGAAGTTAGATAACCAAGACCTAAAGAGGATTTTAGGCACACTGCCTTCGCATTAGGCAGTGACCAACCTCGGGGGTGGGAGGGGGAAGGTGCCCCATATTCTTCATAGAGATATTGTTATTATATGAATATGACATAACTAAAACATGTTCTATGCAAGATGGGTCATGTGAGGTATCATTGGAAAGATTATGATTTACTGAATATGATTATCCTATTTGTATGCCTGTATTATGTCTATATCTGAAGTTAGGAATAGGGACTATGTATCAAATAGAAAAGTGTTTTTACCTGGGGACTGCCCACCAAACAAAATGCAATCAGTCTGCCTGGTTAGCCAATGGACCATTAGGAAGAACAATAGGACTTTAAGGATGCTAATCTCCCACCTTCCTGGGAAG